ATGCGCAAGAATGACCGATTTTGGTCGAGACATGGTCCTGTTCTTTCGTGAGACAGAGTATACAGTCGATTTTGCTTAGTTAATTCACACAATAATAGAGTGGGTTACCTTAGAGTTGATTTTATAAGAAAAAAAAATTTTTTAAATAATCAAATCTTTAATTACCTGTCCTGTTGAAAATTACTTGAATTGTTTTGGTTTTATGCACCTCAATTATAATAGATCTTTATAGTGAAATATGAAATCATTTATTCTGATAAAGGTAGGTAGTAGGTACAAAATGTATGCCAATAAATATGTAATAAAATTAAATAGTTTACAAAAGACAAAAAAATTTAAAATCAAATCTTTTTTAAAAACATAAACAAGTGTACCTATTACCATCTTGGTAAATATTATAGTACCTACCTATATTATATTAAAAAATATTATCATAATTTTTAATTTATAGATATAATATATYGTACGTTGATTTCTAATCTTATAAAAATTATTATGTAGATATCAGAAATTTTAATGAAAACACTGCTTTAAATACTTCAATAAATGCCTAGTTTCACACTTTCACTCAGAATCTTAATAATTATAGTATAATATACCAGTACAATATAACTATACTTAATATACTTATTCCCTGGCATATACCCTATAAGTTATACAAATCTATTAATAATCTTACCGTTAACTAGAATAATGTCTATAAGACTATACCTACTCCATGCGCTGAGAGGGTCGGCCGTGTTCCCAAATGACAAAATAATATTATTTATCACTATAGACTAGTAATTAATTTTGTAATATTTTTGTCTGCGTCAATCATAACGTTCATATTTATTATACTTATATTTATTATTGATAATAATTTTACACCATGTATGATTTTATTTTATGTTTTTCATTCCTTYGAATGTCCCCACATCATAAACAATTTATGTGAAATAAAAACATTTTACCAAACATTAAATAAAGACCCACAAAAAATTATGCCCGGGGATCAATATCCGGTTCCCCTCCCCTAGTTCCGCCACTGCCTACACATGACCCACCCACCTTCTAGGTACCTTGGTGTCACGCCTGATGTGTACTTACTTAAACATGTCATGGGTTCTTTTTTTTGTCATATCTGCATGACTTGTTAAACTTAATTTTAAATTTCCACAGCTCTTATGTGGATGCTTTTGGTAATATGGAGATGCAACTAGGTGCATCATAATAGACTTTTCATTTAAGGGTGTCGATTTATAAGTGTGTTTTTTGTTGGCTATTATAAAATTTTATATGTCTTATAAGCTAGGAAGTTGRTTATTTGTATGCATTTAGCTAAACAGTTGCAATAAAATTAAACATTTAAATTGTAGGCAGGCTTTAAGATTTAAAAATATAAGCTACTAGGAATGCAGTTTGTAGATTTAATTTTAATTTTTAGCATTTTGATAGAGAWTTATTAATACTTATTGYTCGACTTATTGTTTAGCTAATACAATTTGAAAATTTAGATAGGTTCACTAATTCTAGAATTTGTTATTGTATTTTGTACAAACACAACATTGAACCATGTAAAATTATCTTTTACAGTACAATATGTTATATATTTTATCTTGGTAGGTACCTGGTTGAATAATTAGTTGAAATACTTACATCATAAATGTATATATGCCAWTAGTGAATAAAATATTAAATATTGTACTTAACATAAGGTTTAAACCATATATAAAATTGTTAGTGTGTTTTAGTAGGCTAAACAATGTTTTCTTATAGGTTCCAATGCTAGGTCCCCATAAATGTTGTGCCTGGTTGCAAGTTGCCACTTATTGTTTTGTTTCTTGTCAAAAAGTGATGCAATATCCTAATCCATCATTGGTGTGAGTCAAATAAATAAATATAATAAGGCATATCCCTTTGTTGCAATCTCAAATTTCTTTACTAGGTGAAAGTTTATATACGCCTAAAGTAATTAAAATTTGGTCTGATACAAGTCTTATATTGTATGGAAGAAATATTGTTGTATTGTACCTATGAGGGTTCCTACTAATCATAGAAATATGCAGTGATATTTAATTGATAATATTATAATCAAAAGGTAGGTATTTGCATAAGATGAATTTATTTGTGTAGAATCAAATCTAAAAATTAGATTAAAAATATATATATATATGTTATGTTATATGTATAATATCTTAACTTGCAATTAGTGAAAATCTATTTTAATWATAAAAAGAGTTTATAATTAATATAATTGGCATTATCACTACAACCTACACCTATCTATCCATAACTAACTATAAGAACTTTCATTATTAAATTAAAATTATTATTTTTTAGATGTTTTAAATACCTTTTGAAATATATAAAGAAAAATGTCTAGAGAAACATCTAACTTAGATACAGATCTAAATTATTTTATACATTCTTGAAATACATTTSTGATTTACAAACTGTACCTACCTTCTAAATAGCTTATTACTTTTTAGTCGAAGATAGCATCGTTGACTTCCATGCAGCCGCCGGCAGTCTTAACAATATTTATCATGGGTACGCCAAATAAATTTTTCAGTGTCATTATAAATTTGTATTTGTATATTATATACTATTGAATTTGAAGAAAAAATTAAAATACAAAAAAAAAATTTTAAAATTATGTTAATTATATCAAAAAAAATGCTATTATTTCTACTACGCCATAGCATATTTTCAAGATCATTATTGTAAAGCCTCGGAAAAGTTAATCATATAAATCCAAATTAATTTACGGCAGCCCGCGGCTGTATGGCCTCCTACGAATGATATGGTGTGGCAGCCTGCGGTCTAAAAATTATCAATACCTAATTATTATTATACGGAAGCAAGCGGCCGCATGGCAGTCAACGTGTTAAGTTGAATTAAATAATGAATGTATCTGTTAAATAGAAAGTTAGATCAATAAAATTAATTAATTCACCTGTTGTACCTAAGCATATATTATATTCAAGTGGGTATTTTCAAATAAAAATGCTTAAATATATAGACAAGCCCTATGACAAGTCTTTATCCATTTGTTTAATGCTGTGTAATTGACTTCTTTGGGTAGGTACTAGGTATATCTGTAATCTAACTCTTAGATTTTTTTTTTAAAATGTATAAACCCTATTTAATTGTATTTCTTTTATATATTGTGGGCATTTATTTATTTATATTATGTCATTCAATTATTTAATACTATCAATAGACAATAATTATTTTCTTACWAGTTGTTAATTATTTCATTTATTGTTTTAATTATTAAATGTTAACCAAATACCTATGTATAAAGGATGAGATATTATTCAATGTTATATTAAGGAACTTAAATCATAGTATTTTAGTACAACATATTTAGCAATTTCTTGCAATTCTCTTGCTTGAAATTTGTGTACAGTGCTGTACAAACTATCCATTATATTATTTTGAAATAAATCGATAACTCTTGGCATTACTTTTTGAGTTTGATTATTTAGAAATATTGATTTGACAATTTTCGGGATATTAATATTTCCTATATGATCTGTGCTGTCCATGTATAATTTGAAATTT